AGCAGCAACAGCAGCAGCAGCAGCAGCAGCAACAGCAGCAGCAGCAGCAGCAGCAGCAGCAGCAGCAGGCAGATGAGAGCAGCAGTGAATGGGGTCGAGTTAGTAAAGTGTCTGCGGCTACAGGCAGCCCAACGCCGCGCTCAGCAGCAGCAGCAGCAGCAGCAGCAGCAGGAACAGCAATTGTGGCTGCAGCAGGAGCAACAGAAGCAGCTGCAGCAAACAAAGCAGCAGCAGCAAACGAAGTAGCAGCAGCAGCAGCAACGACATCCGAGCTGCTGGATTCCCCCGAGGTTCGCATGGCTCTTCCCTCAGCAGCAGCAACAGCAGCAGCAGCAACAGCAACAGCAGCAACAGCAGCAGCAGCAACAGCAGCAGCAGCAACAGCAGCAGCAGCAGCACCAGCAGCAGCAGCAGCAGCAGCAGCAGAATCCATATCTCTCGTCAGCAACTCCATGCGAATCCGCGTGGCTGACGTCGTCCTCGGTTTAGCTGAGCTTCGCCAATATCAGCAGCAGCAGCAGCAGCAGCAGCAGCAGCAACAGCAGCAGCAGCAGCAGCAGCAGCAGCAGCAGGGTTGGTGCTTAACAGTGGCTCGACATGGGGGCCCCCAAGGCCAGCTGCTGCAGCGCTGGCGGATTCCCCTCAGTGCCTTGGGGGCCCCCCATATACCTGAGGAGATCCTCGTGCTGCAGCCTGCTGCTGCTGCTGCTGCTGCTGCTGACCCTGCATGCATCTGCTTTCCTCTGCAGCAGCAGCAGCAACAGCAGCAGCTGCAGCAACAGCAGCAGCAGCAGCAGCAGGATAATCGTCCTACTGGCAGCACCCAGAAGTAAGCCCCCATGATTCATCTTCCCCTTGCTGCTGCTGCTGCTGCTGGTTTTTCTCTCCATAGACCGCTGCTGCTGCTACTGCTGCTGCTGCTCCTGCTGTTATCGTTGCTGTTGCTGCTGCTGCATGTTTGTATTTACTTTTTCTGTGTGTTGCTGCAGCAGCAGCCGCGAGCATCTATCTTTTACTTTGTTTTCTGCTGCTGACGCCAGCTGTCTCCTTGAGGAGACAGTTGTAGCGAGTGCGCTGCTGAGCGTTCCGGGGGGTACGGGGGCCCCCCTGGCCGAGGCTGCTCTCAGTTTGCTGCTGCACCAGGGGGCCCCCGAGGCCCCCCTGGCTGCACCGGGGGCCCCCAGGGGCCCCTCAGACGATGCACCTGCAAGCGTGGGGCCCCATGGGGGCCCCACAGGTCGTGTCTTGGGCCGGCTACTGCTTGCAGTGGAGCTGATAGCATACCAGGGGCCCCCAGGGGGGCCCCTAGGAGGAGCTGCAGGGGGGGCCCCCGGGGGGCCCCCTGTAAGTGGGTCTGGTGGGGGGCCCCCGTCATGGGCTGTTGATGTAGCTGAGATGCCGCCAGGGGTATTCCTGTGTCGTGGGGGGCCCCCCAAGCCTGCTGAGGGGCCCCCAGGCAGCGCGAAGGGAGAGTGGATGGATTGGGGGCCCCTATGTGCCCTGCTGCGGTAGGTAGAGATGAGACGTACACTGCTGCTGCTGCTGCTGCTGCTGCTGTTGCTGCTGCTGCCGATAGAGGTGATGCTGCTGATGTAATTGGTGGTGCTGCTTGGGTATCTGTTGCTGCTGCTGCTGCTGCTGCTTCTGCTTGTTTGCTGCAGCGAGAGGGGGGCCCCCGAGGCGTTGGAGGTGCTGCTGCGGGCAGTGAGGGGGCCCCCTGCTGCTGCAGTGCTGGTGAGGCCCCTCCTGACCCTGGGGGCCCTCCACCGACTAGCAGCAAAGCTGAAGCCTCGTCTCCCCTATCTCCTGCGGGAGATGCTGCAGCGCTACCAGCAGCAGCAGCAGCAGCAGCAGCAGCAGCAGCAGCAGCAGCAACAGCAGCAGCGGCGGGAGCAGTTTGGGTTTGGCTTGCTGCAGTGGAGTGAGTTTCAGTCGCTGCTGCTGCAGGCGATAGATGCTGCTGTCCCTCCATCCCCTTCCTCTTCTGACTTACAAAACACCCTCACCAGCAGCAGCAGCAGCAGCAGCAGCAGCAGCAGCAGCAGCAGCAGCTTGACAGCAGATGAGTGGCTGCTGCTGCACGGCTGCTTAGCTTTCCGCTATGTATGGAGAGGAGAAGGGGGCACAGAAGAGGTCTTCGACTTGTGGGCGGCAGCTCGCTCGATGCTCTGCTGTCTCCTCCTGGGGGCCCCCAGGGGGCCCCCACAGCAGCCAGCAGCAGCAGCAGCAGCTGCTGCTGCTGCAGCACCTGCTGCAGCAGCAGGTGCTGCTGCTGCAGCACCTGCTGCTGCGGCTTGCAGCCGTCTCTCACCCTCTCTGAGGGAACTCCTCCTTATCATAGGGGGCGAAGATGACGAGGGCACAGCAGCAGCAGCAGCAGCAGCAGCAGCAGCAACAGCAGCAGCAGCAGCAGCACCAACAGCAGTGCTAGCAGCACCGCCAACAGCAGCAATAGCAGCAGCAGAACATGCAACAGGTAGAGGATTGCCTTCATCTCCTTCTTCTTTTACTTTCTGTACCCTTGGGGGCCCCCAGGGGGCCCCCGGGGGCCCCCATATAAGAATACGGTTGAGGGTAGAGAAGGGTAGGGGCCTCAGGAGACTGGGGGCCCTCTTGCCTTCCTCCTTTGTTACTGCTGCAGTTGTGCTGCTGCCTCCTCTTGCTGCAGCTGTCTCTCAGCTTGGGGGGCCCCCCCGCCAGGGGGGCCCCCTGGGGGCCCCTCAGGGGCCCCCAAGCCAGACGGGGGCCCCCCATTCTAGTTTGTTCTTCTCTATGCTGTATGCTGAACAAGGGTACAGCTCTGTCATCTATAGAAACAAAAACCCTTGCTGGGATTGGGCTGCAACCCTTGGGGGCCCCCCTCTTGCTGAGATATGTGCTGCAGTAACTGCAGCAGCAGCAGCAGCAGCAGCAGCAGCAGCAAGAGGGGCCCCCCATGATGCTGCTGCTGCTGCAGCACTAAGCACAGCAGCAGACACTCTTAAGGGTCTCCAGAAGGGGCCCCACCCCTGGCCACCAACGCGACCAGCAGCAGCAGCAGAACCACCAGCAGCAGCAGCAGCAGGTGCTGCTGCTGCTGCTGCTGCTGCTGCGCTGCTGCCGCTGCTGGCTGTCCGTCTGACCATTTGGCTGCTGGATCT